TAACCAAAATCAAAGTAGACTATCACTCACCCACACCAGATGGAAAACTCTACAGACTGTCGGTTCACACCCCATCACAAGCCAGCAAATATATATATATCTCACTGAAACCATTCATTTTTCTCATTCTTCTTTCCACTCCCCCTTCACCGTGGCTCTCACTTACAAGGCTCGCCACATTGATGAAGTTGAGCACAAGCTGCCTGCATCCCCGTGTGCCGTAACGGCCCATTTGTACTCTGTGAGAAAGAGGCAGAGTAAAGGCGGAGGGGAAACACATAGGGAAGAGGGATGGAGAGAAGACAAACAAAGAACGGCAAAGGGAAAGTAAGGGAAAGTACAGACTCTACAGAGTGTGGAAGAAGATGAAGGCAAAGGAGAGGATAAGAAAAGGTTCAAGAATGAGTCTGTCCTTGACGACAGAGAGGACACACATTGCACGGATGAGGTGGATGAACACATGGAAGACCTACCTGAGCGTTCTCAGTACAACAATTGCCACGATAGCTGGCATTTAGCATGCACACCATACACCCCGACAAATGGCATGTCGATTGCAGACCAAAATAAAGGAAGAACGTTCACCACAAAAGACCATGCATTCGGTATAGTGCTCATGACCACAAAATGGACATATAGTGTCCGGATGCAGAGGGTGCCTGCAGTCAGGATGGAGGGACAGTCGTCTATACACATGGATGCAGAAACCATGTCATTGTATTGATTGTGATAGAGACGATGGTGGCTACAATCGAGTGCAAGTGTTTGTAGCTGTGCAAAGGAGAAGGTCGCAGAGGGTTGGTACATTGCCCTACTGCAGCATGGGGCAGTTGTAAGTACCCCATTTGAGCGTTAGAAGCATGGCTACCACGGACCCGGACGCCGGACACATCCGGACTGTTTCCCGGACCAGTGTCTAGACCAGTCCGGACTGTCCGGTGATCCGGACATGTCCAGACACCCGGACATCACCGGACCCGGACAGTCCGGACCGGTGTCGGGGACCCAAAAAATGTCTGGAAGACAAAAAAAAAAAATGTGGGGGGGCAGGCCGGTGGGGGTGGCGGGTTGGCAGGCACTGACCTGCTTTACACTTGCAGCAGAGCACCTGTCATGCACCAAATCAACAAAGCACATTCAACATGCAGAGTTGCGAACAGTGCAAAGCAGGCACAAGACTGAAGAAACAGATGTAAAAAAAAAGTTAAACAACTTAAACAAGTCTTACAATTTAAAAACTCAAAAAAAGTTTTAAAAACTTAGAAAAACTTCAAAGTTCAAAAAAGTTTGAAGTTTCAACTTCAAAGAGTCTTGGGACTGGCAGCACTGTCAGTGCTCTCTCTCTCTCTCTCTCTCTCTCTCTCTCTCTCTCTCTCTCATCAGTGGGATGTCTTGCGCAGTTTAGACAGGGGTTCTGATTCGGAGTCGCCCTCTTCCTTCGACGAACTGTCATCTTTCTCGTCGCCTTCGCTTTCATCCTCCTTGCCACTGCCATCAGTCCCGTCACTGCCACCACTCCCGTCATGACCATCGCCACTGCCATCACTTTCATCGCTGCTGCCATCACTTTCATCAGCGCCGCCACCACTTTCATCGCTGCTTGTCCCTTCTGGCCCTGCAAACCATCGGGGGAAAGTCGAGAATGGTAGCAGGAGTGGACGTCGGGGAGGTGTCAGGGGAAGATCGGTGGAAAGTCGGGGAGATATCGAGGAGGGGTCAGGGGGAGATCGGGGAGGGGTCAGGGGGAGATCGGGGGAAAGTCGGGGGGGATCGGGGGAAGTCTGGAATGGTAGCGGGAGTGGACGTCGGGGAGGGGTCA